TGCCCACTCTCACTGCTCCTGTTTAACATAGTATAAGAAGTACTAGCCAGAGCAAGCAAGCAAAAGAAAAAATAAAGGGCATCCAGATTAGAAAAGACAGTTATACTGTCCCTGTTTCCAGATGATATGATCCTATATATAGAAAAACCTAAAGACTCTACAAAAAACTCCTAGAGCTGATAAACAATTTCAGTAAAGTTGCAGGACACAAAATCAACACACCAAAATCAGTAGCATTTTTGTAATACAATAATGAACTAGCAGAAAAAGAAATCAAGCAAGCAAGCACATTTACAATAGGCTCTCTCTCTCTCTCTCTCTCTCTCACACACACACACACACACACACACACACGCACACATGCACGCACACATGCACAAACACACACACAAAATACCTAGGAATCAGTTTAACCAAGGAGGTGAAAGATCACTACAATGAGAACTACAAATCACTGTTGAAAGAAATTAAAGAGGACACGAAAAGATGGAAAGACATTCCATGCTCTTGGATTGGAAGAATTAACATTGTGAAAATGTCCATACTACCCAAAGCAATCTACAGATTCAATGCAATCCCCATCAAAATACCAATGACATTCTTCACAGAAATAGAAAAAACAATCCTAACATTGATATGGAACAACAAAAGACTCGAATAGCCAAAGCAATCTTGAGCAAAAAAAATAAAGCTGGAGGCATAACACTGCCTGACTTCAAATTATACTACAAAGCTATAGTAGCAAAAACAGCATGGTACTGGCATAAAAAGACACTTGGACCAACGAAACAGAATAGAGAATCCATAAGTCAACCCATATACTTACAGCCAACTGATATTTGACATGGGCAACAGGAGCATACACTGGGGAAAGGACTGCCTCTTCAATAAGTGGTGGTGGGAAAACTGGACATCCATATATGTAGAAGAATGAAACTAGACCTGTACCGTTTAGTTTCCAAACGGTACAGGTCTAGTTTGGAAACCAAAATCAACTCAAAATGAATTAAACACTTATATAGAAGACCTGAAACTTTAAAACTATTAAAAGAAAGCATAGGGGAAACACTTCAGGAGGTAGGATTGGGCAAAGACTTTATGAATAAGGCCCCCAAAGCACAGGCAACAACAAAAAAATTAAACAAATGGGATTATACCAAACTAAAAAGCTTCTGAGCAGCAAAGGAAACAGTAATCAGGGGGAGAAGACAACCTACAGAATGAGAGAAAATATTCACAAACTATGTATTCGACAAAGGATTAATATCCTGAATATACAAGGTACTCAACTTAGTAAAAAAACAAGTAAACCACTTAAAATATGGGCAAAGGAGCTGAGGTATTTCTCAAAGAAAGCCAACAGACACATGAAAAAATGCTCAACATCACTAAGCATGAGGGAAATGCAAATAAAAACTACACTCAGATATCATCTCACCCCAGTTAGACTGGCCATTATCAAAGACACAGAATAACAAATGTTGGTGAGGATGCAGAAAAAAGGGAACCCTCCTATATTGTTGGTGGGGCTGTAAATTAGTGTGGCCCTTAAGGGAGTATGGAGGTTCCTCAAGCAACTACAGATAGAACTGCTATACAATCCAGGAATAACACTGCTGGGTATATACCCAAAGAAATGAAAATCATCATGTTGATGGGATACCTGCAATCCTATGTTTACTGCAGCTCTATTTTCAATAGCTAAAAGTCTGAAGCAACCTAAATGCCCAATGGGTAAGAAAATGTGGTAAATATACACAATGGAATACAACTCTGCTATGAAAAGAATGAAATTCTGCCTTTTGCAGCAATATGGATGAACTTAGAGATAACTGTGTTAAGTGAAATAAGCAAGGCACGGAAAGAGAAATACTACATGTCCTCACTCATAAGCGGGAGCTAAAAAAACAAAACAAAACAAAAAAACCTTAAAAACAAATAAACAAAAAAAGAAAGAAAGATACAATAATCACAATATTTCATTGAACTTTCAAAAGGAGAGAATGGAACTGAGGCCATTAGAGGTGGGAAAGGGGGAGTGGGGGAGGTTAGCAAGAAATTGATAAAGGGCCACCAAAAATGATTACATTGTGTAATGAGAAATATAGTAATTATCCTGATTTGAAAATCACATATTAACACTTAGGTATTGATATTCAATGTCATACCTCACAGACATGTACAATCATTTGTTTCAATTAAAAATAATTTTTTTTTAAAAAGAGAAAACCGTTCAAAGAAATCAAGGAAATAAGAAAGAGGTGATATCTGGACTCTTCGCATCATTCCCTGCATCACCAGGAACTCCCTGGATCCAAATGTATCCAAGTCTAGACCCTGACCTCTAAAAGAAGTATGAGCACTCAGAAGCTGTCTCCAAATTAAAGTGGCGACAATGGCAAAATTCTCCCTACCAAGTAATGGGAAATACTGCTACCACAATTAGAAAGAGCGTCAGAGAGTTTACCCATACAACATTTTAGTATTTTTCTTTCCACTGAGGAGAAATAAAGAAAAACTTTCAGTTTAGTTTGTAGGAAAGTGTATAACTTTGGGAAGCTGGAATTACCTGGCAACAATGATTTCACAATTAAATTACCAGGAGATTTTTGGAAACAGTGTAAAATTTCATTTGTCCTGAATGACTTAAGTAAGGTCCTGCTGAAATAGACAAGAGAATCGACCAAAGATCGCGCTAGTCACCAACTTAAAATTATCACCAAACCTAGACGATGTTTGAAACATTAAATTTTCACAGGTATACAAAATATATTTTAAGAGAGGACAATGACTCTACACTAGCAGAAGTCTAGGAACCAGTGAAAGTAATAGTAGAAACTATTTCAGGTAAGAATCCTTCACTGAGTCTCAAGTTGGAAACATAATTAAAGCTACTTTGCATGCACTACATCTTACATTTTTTCCTTTCAATCTAAAGCTTCCAATTTCTCTAAGCTCTGGTTCCTAGAAAAGCCTTTGGAAGTTACTTTTTGGAACCCACAATTTCTGAAGCTTTTCATCTATTTATCATACCCTTTCTGCCTCTAAGCCTCACTCCCCAAGTGTGGTCAGTAATGCCACTGCCACTGGAAGTAAAATGGTCCTCAGCATGAGCCTGTTTGCCCACAAGGCCAAACATGTGGGACAGGAAAGGAATCCAGTGTTCAAGGATCTCAAGGTATTCTGAAACTTTCTGGCATAAAAAACACATTATTACTCATTTAATATATATGGAAATGGACACAGAAACATTAGGAAATTTTCTAAAGGCTATAAAGAAAGCCAACCAGTGGGTCTGGGTCTCCATCTCATACTCAGGTGTCAGGCTAGGCCTCCCTTTGCAATTCTCAGAAGGGCACTAATGGCAAACTAGCATTGTAATCTATACTTTTAAATTCTATTAGGATAATAATGATTTTAAAACAAAATGCTGTTTGCATTTTTTTTAGCATGTTCTATATGTTAGGCACTGTGCTAAAAGTTTCCAAGTTTTATTACTAATACTAAGAATTGCTATTTTTTACAAATGATAAAATTGAGTCTCAGGCAAGTTGTCTGACTCAAAAGCACTTGAAAAAACCATCAAAGACAGTAGAATGTGAAGTAGTGACTTACATAAAGCAGTATTAATAAAATTTTTTATTCATTTAAGAAAATCTTTTCAAAAGAGACTATATATACATGCACACATACACATATATGTAAATTATCTAAAAATTATATATGGATATGATTATATATGTATATGCATGTATATATATATACATGATTATATATATATATATATATGCTTTTAAAATAAAAGTGACATCTTAATGAAAATACAGTGCTTACATCTCTGGTGCTGATTTTCTAATAACAGCAGTTCTACACGTGCTGCTTGTCTGAAAAGAATGTCAGTACCATGACTGACTAAACCATGCAGATATGACTGATAAACTCATGAGACAATTTTCAATTTGGTAGAGCACGAGGAGCTCCATATACATTTTCAGGAGTACAAATGAAGCCTCATGAGTCTTTTGGAACAAATACCTCCAGGCTTGGTGGGACCACAGCCAAGTAGCCCAGAAGTCCTATCCTTTGCTTACAACTGTTTGTGAACAATGATAACAAGATCTGTGTAATCCAAGTATTTTAAAGGCTTTCAAAGCACTTCAAGCACAATCATGACTATTTAAAAATACTCCTTCTACCATGATACAGAACAGAAAAAGAGCAGTTCTTTGCAAACCTTGCTTAACTGAGATATTTTAGTACCTAAAATCTACTTTAAAAATTATATCACTAAAGCCATGTTCTATTAGCACACTAATGGCTTCCTAATTAGCAAATTAACTTTAAGTAAATTCTCTGTGGTAACCCAGTGGTATATATAGCTGGTAACCTCTGCTACATTGTTAAATAGCATGTTCAATGACCAATGAACTTGCAGCAAATTAGTTCAAAATGATGCATCATTCTGTCAGACACTTAAGAATTAGCTCTTTAGAGTCTGTTTTTAAAAATATGAAATCCCGGGCTGGCCTGGTGGCGCACTGGAGAGTGCGCCGCTTGGGAGTGCGGCAGCGCTCCCGCCGAGGGTTCGGATCCCATGTGGAGACCGGTTCCCGCTCACTGGCTGAGTGCGCTGCAGGTGCAACACCGAGGGTTGCGATCCCGTTGCCGGTCCCCAGTACGGGTGCGACACCGAGGGTTGAGATCCCGTTACCGGTCAGTAATAAAGACAAAAAGGAAAAAAAAAATATGAAATCCCTTGACACCACTACCACAAATAGCCAACATTTTAAGTGACTGCCAAGCCACCCTCATTTCTCCAGGAAAAATCATAAAACCCACAAGTTAGTAAATCTATATAAAGCCTACAAAATCTCTATCTTTCTGACAAAGTTTACTTATTTTCTATGAGAGACTTTATTTCCTGTTTTCTGAGAATTGAAAAAAAAGTTCCCACATCAGATTCAGCTGAAGGCATGGACTTACCTGCAAAAAAGGAAGACACATTACAGAAGTCGATGCCAAAGAACACTTCTTTATCACTTTAGTATTGACTTGGCACAGTGTTTCAGATGGTATTTATTCGGAATAAAGAGATCAATGGCATAACTTGTCCAATCCTCCTCTATAAGTGACTTTACTAGAAGCAGGTAAGAGCAAAAAATATACATTCATCTGTCTGTAGGCAACCAAAAATATACCAACTCATCTTGGAGTAATTTAACCAAAAAGATGATTTAGAGGACAGTTCAGGGGCACCACTTCTGGAAGGCAAAATCTTAGCAGAGGGAACATAAATCAAAGGTGACTGGCAGGTAAAGGATATATGCAGCAATCAACCAAACCATGTGCACACTGGCACAAATTCAATAAGATCGTTTATAAAAATTTTAAGGCAGAAGTACACAAAAGGGGGTCTGGTGCTAAATCCACAGATAGCTTACATGCCACTGAAATAAACACTTCCAGATGCGGGTGTACAAAAATCTTTCACAGAAAGAAATGTTTTCTTTCATAAATCTGAAGGAGGGACTCTTAGCAGGGAAGGGCAAAAAGTCTGAAATTGAGACTGAGCTTCTTACAGACGGGAAGTGCTTGTTAAGGTGGAATGATTGTGAAGATAATGATGAACTACATATCAAGTCCCTGTTTAGAAGAATCACTGTTATCAGTAAGACTGGATTTCTGTTAAGCTGGGGAAATAATGCTAACATGTCTTTCCATAAGTCCTATAAAATCTGGTGTTTAAGTCAGTGTTCCTTTCATTACTTTCCTTATAGTTTCCTTTTTTTTTTTTTTTTTTTTGGGGTGGGGGCGGGTTGGGGGGAAA